AGTTGTTTTGGACTTCCACTCCCACAATAAGAAAACCCAAGTTTAGATTCCTTCTCAGGTGTTAAGTTCACTAGATGCCCCAGCCAGCCCTGCCATTAGACAGACTGAGGCAACTATGGGTGTCCTAAAAAGGTAACCAATTGTTACTTATTTAATTTCCTCCTGTATTTTTACTGCCAGGAAGAGGTGCTTGTGTAATTTTCTTCTTTGTGTGCCAAAGCAACTTGGCTGGCTTTGGGTGTTATGCACTTTAAGAGAGACGAATATGAGACATTTATTTCTCTGACTCAGATAGCAAAATGACTTGGGCTGGTCCAGTCAGGTGTCTTTTCACTCTTCAATCCAAATTATTCTGACAGGCTGCAGTAAAGATAAAACGAGGGGGAAATGAAATGATGAGAAAATGAAGAAACTGCCCTGGGTTTCTTCAAAGATGGGTGGTTTGGAAATAGAGACTTTTTAATAACCATGGAATGAGAAACCATGCTTAAACAACAGCATACCTTTATGACTAATATAATTTTTGAACAATTTTGAAAAACAATTAAGATGCATTAGGAGTGGCACAACTTGTTCAGCCTGCATGAAGTACAGCAAATCACTGAAAACCTTTTACATTTGAGGATTCTTTATGGCATATACTGTACCCACATATTCTTTTCATAAGGTCATGAGGCACCTAGGTAGTTCCAAAATACTATCAACTTTTTTCCAGCAGCAGTTCAGCACTATGTAGGCATGATCCCGAATCTTTATATACAAAATCTCAGTCTGCCTATGTCTCTGCTTGCAAAACTCAAAAATAGTCAGTCAATTGACTTGACATTTCCACACAATGTTGCATTCCAATACACATGTGTTTTTAGAGTAAAATGAAATTTTAACACGTGTATTTAGAGTAAACAAGCAGTCCTGGAATAGACAAAGTGGAATCTGTGATGCCCAAAGCAACCCCTCACAGCCTAGCTTTCATTTTACCTCAGCAGTATAAGAAATGAAAACTGAATTCAAGCAACCAATTGTCGTACCACTTTTCTATTACCTCAGCAGTAAAAGAAATGACAACCAATTACAGAGCAGCTTTCACTTTAACACAGCAAAAGAAATAACAACCAATCACAGCACAGCTTTCCTTTTACCTCAGCAGTATAAGAAAAACCAAGCAATCACAGAGCAGCTGTCATTTTACCTCAGCAGTAAAAGTAATGAAATCCGAGCTGTGATTGGTTGCTTTTGGCATACAACAACAACAACAACAAAACTTTATTTATATACCGCTCTATCTCCCCAAGGGGACTCAGAGCGGTTTCCTAGTAACATAATCAGTACATACAAAGAAAACAGCATAAACATAAACTTAACAAGACAATATAAGCATTAAAAACCACAATAGCACATATATATTTAAAATAATCCTGCCTGTTCAAGGCAATTTAAAAGGCTGGGTTGAGGCTAGTGCGATTTTAGAGGGCCTGGGAAATTAGGTAGAGTTTATGGCTGTAAATTTCCAGGGTCTAAAAGAAGAAAGTAACCTGGGTAATTGGTAGAAAAAGATATGGCCAATTTCAACAGTACTATCTGGGGCTAAGCTAGAACTAGTTGTTCTCAAAGGTTTGTTTAAACCACCAGGCCTTCAAGCTCTTATGAAAGGAGAGGGATGGGGCCTGTCTTATTTCTCCAGAAAGGGTGTTCCAGGGGCAGGGGGCCACCACCGAGAAGGCCCTCTCTCTCATCCCCACCAACCATGCTTGTGACGGTGGTGGGAGCAAAAGGAGGATCTCCTCGGAAGATCTTAAAGTTCGCACCGGTTCATAGAGGGAGATGCGTAGCATACCACTCATACCAGCCGACATGGTGCACGAGTACTAAAGACTTCAATTTCCAATACCCCTTGTGTTTGCTATGACTATCAATAAATCGCAGGGGAAATCTTGTCAAGCATGCTGTTTGAATTTAGAAAACAATTGCTTCTCTCAGGGGCACTTATACGCCGCATGCTCCAGAGTCGGTTAACCGTCAGATCATGATGTTTATGCAGAATATGGACAAACAAAAATGTAGTCAATCCACTAGCTTTATAATAAAAAAATAGTTCTGTTAAAAATCTGATTTCTTTTAAAAATGTATTTTTCTTTCTTTTCCTATTATTCCACATAGACACAGCAACACAAGGCAAGGTACTGAATTGAGAGATATGTTTTCTTGGTGAATCTATATTCTCAACAATACTTTTATTTACTATCTCATTCATACCATATCAGACTGAGCCACAGTGAAGCGTGGTCAGGTTTAGCTAGTTTTTTGATAGTAAAGAAACTTCTTTATATTTGTCTTGTGACTGAGCTTGAGCAGAATTTAGAATCATATAACCATATAGATCTATATAATCATATAGATCAGGCCTGCACAACCTGTGGTCCTCCAGATATTTGTGCCTCCAACTCCCAGAAGCCCTACCCAGCATGTCCAATGGCCAAGAAGAATAAGGTTGAATAGACCTGCCTCAACAAGCTACAACTTCCATGATTCCATAACACTGAGCCATGGCTGTTAAAGTGATGTCAAACTGCATTCATTCTAGCATAATACACTCCAAGGTCTTCTGTCATCAACATGTTCAGGTCCTGGAGATTCATGAGTGTGGCTTCTTCAGTTGAATCTAGCCCCTTCAAATACATTCTTCCTCATTCTCTGCTGCCTCCTACTTTGGCAAGCATTACACAGGCCTGTAAAAGTGAGGGTCATAAAACAGAGTAACACTCAGGCATGTGTTGGAGATCACACTTAAATGAAATGTATTCTTAAGAAGCGGCACAGTATCAGGAAAGGAAAGAGCAGGATTCTAGTCAGCTTCCAGTGCCACATCAAAATAGGTAGATAATGACCTGCACAAAAGCAACTTCACCTATTTTGGCCCCATTCGGATAAATGATTAGCTGCACCTTTTAAGTCTACATTAAGGCAGGAAAACAAATAAGTGATTTATTACCAATCCTCAGACATGCAGTCTCCACATCCAAAGTGAAACAGAGTCGTGATTAGATAAGTAAAAGCACCTGCCCCCGTCCCTCAAACAGTACCCCAGAAAGTAGTGTTTGTCTGCATTCATAGAGTTATGTGTATATACAAAAACACAAGGCTCTGTTATTCTAGAGTCAAATTTGTTCAAAATGTCAATTTCCCAAAATGTCAATTTCCCAAAATGTCAATTTCTAGGCTTTATCTCAATTCTATCACCTCCATAGGTATGTTTGATGAGAGCATGGGAGATAGACTTAGAAGAGACCTCGTGGGCCATCCAGTCCAACCCCCTGCCAAGAAGCAGGGAAATCACATTCAAAGCACCCATCCAGCCTCTGCTTAAAAACCTCCAAAGGTACCTCCACCACACTCTGGGGCAGAGAGTTCCACTGCTGAACAGCTCTCACAATCAGGAAGTTCTTCCTAATGTTCAAGTGAAATCTCTTTTCCTGTAATTCGAAGCCATTGTTCCATTGTGTCGTAGTCTCCAGGGCTTGCTCCCTCCTCCACATGACATCTCCTCACATATTTATACATGGCCATCATGTTCCTCTCAGCCTTCTCTTCTACATGCTAAACATGCCCAGCTCTTTGAGCCACTCCTCATAGGCCTTGTTCTCCAGACCCTTGATCATTTTAGTCGCCCTTCTCTAGACACATTCCAGCTTGCCAATATCTCTCTTCAATTGTGGTGCCCAGAATTGGACACAGTATTCCAGGTGTGGAATAGAGGGGTAGCATGACTTTCCTGGATCTAGACACTATACTCCTATTTATGCAAGCCAAAATCCCATTGGCTTTTTTAGCTGCCATCACATTGTTGGCTCATGTTTAACTTGTTGTCCATGGGGACTCAAAGATCTTTTCAACACATACTTCTCAGTGGCTACGCCGTTTTGAGGAATTTGTTCCCATAGTAGACTGGGTTGGCTCCGTGGTGGTCTCCTTCTTTGGAGGTTTATACACAGAGGCTGGATGGCCATTAATTAGGATGCTTTGGTTGTGTATTCTACCAGATGGCCCTTGTGGCCTCCTCCAACTGTTTCTAAGAATCTTCACTGGCAAATAAAAACCTTTCTGGGTATCAAGGCCTCAGGTGCCCATCACAAGTTTCAAATTAAATCATTCTACTGAATTTTGTTTCCAACTTGTATTGAGCTCCCTTGCCCCCCATATTGGGGAGAAAAGCAGGATATTACTAAGTAAACTTTATTATGGCCAATGACCAGATCATAACAGGGGGACCCAGTCCCACACATTCGCGTCAAACCCCAGTGGGATATAAATTAAATACATTTTATAAATATATGTAAACAATACTTGTCAATAGCATGCCTTGATATATGGTTTCCTGTTTTCCTAGTTCTGTAAAAGGTTATACAGGAATCAAGTAGCACCTCTGTGACTAGCATAAGCTTTCATAGACTAGTCAACTTTTAATGGTCTTATGCTAGCAATTTCTAATCAGAAATAACCCATCTGAGTATCTGTACCTCTCAACCTACCCAGATGCAGATGCCTCCAGGTTTCTCTCCATTGTTCATGTGCAGTAATTTGTGTAGCCCTACTCATGCATTACTTTTAGAAAACATGAATTGCTGTCAAAGGAGCAGCATGGTCACACCTTTAGTAATTGTACAGGTCTTTCCAGCCCCGTGTTTGTGTATTCTTTGTGGTTATGAAGACTTCATATGTGAATTTTTTGTTACAGTCTTTGCCAGACTTAAGCACCATAATGAATATGAGTATGAACATTAATTCCAATTGGAGAACATCTTAGTGGATTATGGATCTACTAACAGCCCAACATAAATTTCAGAAACAAATAAAAACCCATCCAAGGCCCAAACTGCATATAGTGGGGAAAACAGTATATCTATGCAAACAATCGAGATGTCTGCCAAACACTCCAATGTGGAAATTTGCTGATAAAATGTTAATGATACTACAACACACATAACACTCGAAACACCAAGAACTATGAAGATTCATTTTTTTTATTTTCAAGTTCCAAAAAAGAAAAAAAAATCATCACAGGGCCCTGAAGCAGCAATAAGTACATAGAGACTACTTACATAATATTCTTTATTTTTAATCTGTGCTGGTTATTAAGTTATTGCATATGTGCATATGCCAATACAATGTAGTGACTGCACGCGCTCAGTAGTATTCTTTATTTTATTTTCTTGACTCTTGAATAAATCTAATATTTTAAATTTTGTTTTCAACTTGGTCTCAAGATCCATTTAAACTTTATGGATTGAAGCAACTGAGAAAAAAAATGGATTAAAAATATTTTGAGTTTCTAGTGATCTAATGGCAACACAATTAATTCAGCCCCAACTCACTCAAGCTCTAAACAATGGTTCTGAGAGGCAAGAAATACTTTCCCACTATCTGTTTTTCTCCTCATCATATCTTTTAATTCAATACATTCTAGAGGCAGAACTTACAGAATATAAAACCACAAAAGGTGAATGTAAGAATGAAAACCCCTAATTGAAAAATCTGTACTTTTCTACTGAGAAGTACAGTTCTGAATGGGGGAGTTGAGTGGGATTTCCTCCAGGTTGCAATTCTAAGCACAAGTACCTGGATGAAAAAAAAATCCCACTGCATACAGTGGGCCTTTCCTCCAAGTAACTCTTTCTAAGACTTTACATAAATTACTTTTCTACAGCAGCCCCGGCTATCCCAATTACCTTTAAAGAGTAAGGGAACAGGGTTGTTGTGAGTTTTCCGGGCTATATGGACATGTACCAGAAGCATTCTCTCCTGACGTTTCGCCCACATCTATGGCAGGGAGCCCTCAGAGGCTGTGGGGTGAACAACACTCAAAAACAGGAGAATTCCAGACAAGAAACAATCAGGGCTTGATAATAACCTCCCAACAAAGGATTCCCCCAGGCAGTAAGAAACCGGACCTTGAAACTGCTAGGCCATAAAATTCTAATAAAGGTGGCCAACTGAAACATTCACACTTGCCTCAAATAGACAAGAGTTCTTTCTCCCACCCTGGATGTTCCACAGAAATATAAACCCAATTTTTCTAGTTTCCAACAGACTTCACAACCTCTGATGATGACTGCAATAGATGCAGGTGAAACACCAAAATATAATGCTTCGGGAACATGGCCATACAGCCTGGAAAACTCACAACAACCCGTAAAAAACATTGCTATATTCAGTAAATATTAGGTGAACAAACTCTATAGTAATATTTAATGGATCCTATTTTTTCTTTTAAAAAATATAAAATAGAGGAAGCTCAAACAGAAATCTAATATCATACAATTAAAATACTTCATGATTGGCCCAACTATTTATTTTGGTCTCAATACTTTAAATATTAATTGCTCCATAAAAATATACAGTTCAACTACATGGTTCTTCCACAGCAGGCTACATAATTAAACCATGCAATTCAGTGCTCAGTCTTATTTCAAAGACTAAAGAAAGTCACACAGTTGTCGAGTTACTAACATTCCAAACTAACATTCTGTTGTTACAGGAAGGCTCACAATGGCTAAATGTTCAGAAAAGATTTGTACCAATGCTATTAGATCTTGTCTTCTCTTTTAAACATTATCATCCTGACTAATACATTTTATGCTGACATTAGACAGCAAACATCTACTAATATCTCCCCATACTAACATCTTCTCAGATTTAAGAGTGCTGCCTTGTAGTTCTAATCATTCGAAAGTATAGTCCAGGAAACCAGCTCACGACATCCTGGATGAATTTCTGGCTGAATACTGACACCCAGTGGACAATCAAGTTAATGCGATGTAAGGCTTGGATTCTCATGTTTTTAGATTAAAATATCTTTAGCTTTCATCAGGGGGACACAAGTGGCAGAATATTTTAGAAAAGGACAGAAGCAGGACTCTATTGTATCATAGAAATCTTGTTTACATGGGTTTTGAGGAAAGGAAAAGTTTTAATAAATTCAGCTTAAATGATGTCCAAATGTTTAAACAGGAGAACTTCAGTAATACAGCTCAGAATGGGACATAAGACTCTAGCCTTCAGGAAAAGATTTAAAGATGGGCTCAAAGCCAACCTTAAAAACTCTGGCATGGATAGAGAACTGGGAAGCTCTGGTCCTTGAGCGCTCCAGTTGGAGGTCAGCTGTGACCAGCAGTGCTTCAGAATTTGAAGAGGCACAAATGGAAGGCGAAAGAGAGAAACATGCCAAGAGGAAAGCGCGTCAAGCCAACTCTGACTGGGACCACCTTCCACCTGGAAACCAATGCCCTCACTGCGGGAAACAATGCAGATCAAGAATAGGGCTCCACAGTCACCTATGGACACACCGCCAGTACACTGATCTGGAAGACTATCCTACTCGGACAACGAGGGATTGCCTAACTCTAGCCTTCACCAGTATCACCACACTTTTCTGATAGCTCATATCCAGAATTCTGCAGAAAACATGCAGAAACTTGCTGAGATTGTAGTAACCTGATTAGTAGCAATAGCCAGGAGATAGAACTTTGTCTGCTGCTGACAGATGCTCTAATAATCCACAAATGTGTTTCTATAGGCCAGGGCTCAGCTGCAAACTATGATACAAAAACTTTCACTTGGTAGTATGAGCTACAAAAGCAGAAGCAAGCTCACACAGAATCCAGAGGTTACTTACTTAAAGTAGTAAAGCAATAAGTACACCAGGCATGGACAAACTTCGGCCCTCCAGGTGTTTTGAACTTCAACCCCCACAATTCCTAACAGTCTACCTGGTCTACACGGTTCAAAATAGTCCTGCCCCTTGTTTCTATACTGCTCTCAATAGCCACAGCAATATGGGTAATTCGAAAAATTTGAGCTGTCAGTAAACACAAATCTTTCAGGTTTAAAGATACAAAGCAAAACCCATACCATAATTAGGCAAAAATACTTCAGAGGTCCACTGGATCTTAAAATCCCCCAAAAAGTCTTTTGAAGTAAACTGGATAGCAATTGTGTAAGACATTGCCTTCTGCCAATGTCTTACCAAGAACAGCCGCGTCTACTGGACATTTATAGCCAATCTCCAAATACTTTACAGAACTAAGAGAAGCAGTCTGGAGGAAAAACTGTCTTCCAGAATTTGGGGCCAAAACTATCCATGCAAAAGTGTACTACGTAGGAATATCCTCATTTGCTTGCCTAGAACTTTTACAAATGAAATCCTAAAACCAGTTAGTGTTTCTATGTTATGAACATAGCAAAAAGGAGACATTCATAGAACTTATGCTCTGACAAGAAATGGACAAGTTACCCACAAAAGTCATCCACCATCACTGGGAACATAATGAGAGCAGCCCTGGATCTCACCAAAAGAACACCTGTTCCAGCATTCGGTTCCCAAAGTCAAGGGAAACCCAGAAACAAGACATTAAGTACAATATCATCCTTTGATTGATGTTCCCCAAACTCTACTATATATTACTAGCTCTTGATGGCCCTATCCTCTGAGAACAGTACAGGTTGACATGGTTAAAGTAAGTTACAAGACAAGAGAAAGTTAAGAATATGTTTTGTTTCCCTACACAGCATGCAACCTTTAGCTTGCTAGATATAAATATACAGCTTTGTTGTTTCTCCAATTGTTGAAAGATTACTATAAAAGTAGGTATAAATAACAGGAATGATAGCTGCTCAGATGTCAGTCATTGAAACATTAAATAAAGGCCTGCTACAAATTATTCACAAAAGAGGTAAGAAAGTGTTCAAGATGCCATTAACAATATAAAGTTATGATCTAGAATATGCATAGAAACTTGTTCATCAAAAGTACAAATTGTACTTAGCCATACAATTATGGCTACTTGCAAGGAGATGACACATGCTTAATAGCCAAGAAGATTAAGACTTGCTTTATATCTGTATTCAAAATAAAGATTTCCAGTTTTAAACAATACCAAATGGGAAAAAGTACTAGAAAAACAGATGTTACAAATGCTGAAAACAGCGTATTAAAGTGTGTATTTAAAAAACTGTGTACAAATTGGTTTTGATGATTACAGGTTTGAACTTTAAAGAAAGATCTGTAAAACGACAGTTTAAAATGCCCATGTAAACGTTTCTTCTGAGGAAGCATTAGGATGTCCAACACAGATTTGTAAAAGATTTAAGAATTAACAAAATTAACACCTTTTAAAGTACAAGATCATCTTCCATGGTTGGGGCAGACCAAAGTCATGCTTATCCATAAGTTATATGTACAGTATTAATTCTGTTGTCTGCGCTTTGCTGATCTCATTTTTTCAAATCGGGACTCCATCTCTTCCAGGACTTTGGGTGTGTATCGTACAACCAGCTTAACTCTCCCTTGAGCTGCTTTCAGCAGTTCTACAGCTTTTTCATGATGTTCCCCTTCAACACTCTGAAACAAATAAGAATATCAACCATCTCATTAGTAAACATGAAAATCTACTCCAGGATTCCAGCAGGTTAATATGTAAGAAGGAGCCCCCGGTGGTGCAATGGGTTAGACCCTTGTGCTGGCAGGACTAGTCAACCGAAAGGTTGGCGGTTCGAATCTGGGGAGTGGGGTAAGCTCCCGCCTGTTAAGCTCGAGTTTCCCATGTAGGGACATGAGAAAAGCCTCCCATAGGATCATCTGGGCAACCCCCTTGCATACAGCCAATACTCTCACACTAGAAGAGACATGCAGTTTCCCAAGTCGCTTCTGACATGAAAAATATATATGTAAGAGTGAATTTAAGGTTATAGTTAAAAACTGAGATTATGCTCAAGATATCACTGGTAGATTTTTTGGCTTGTTTTTATAAGATATTATCAGTAGAAACTAATGGTTTCTAACATTAAGCACACAATTAAGATAAATAACTGTATATTTCATTTAATGCAGTAATTATTAAACTAGATTGTGGTCCTTGCCTGGATCCTTCATAAGTTAGTGCCTTATCTCTTAAAATTTCCAGACTTCCTACTTCCTGACTTTTTGTTTCTGGTCTCTTTTTGATTGGTGTCTATGTGAGCACATGTCCCTGCTTCATCAATACACAGGGAGCTTTCTTGATAAAAACAAGTGTTCAAAATGCAGATTTGCAAGGGGTTTCAAAGGTCTCCCTATCACCTGGAAGGTTGGGTGGACACTAATCAGTTGAACCTTAATGTTAAAGAGTACTTTAGTCAGAAGGGACAATTATACTGAAACAGAGATACATGTAAAGTGCTACAGTGTGGGATTAACTGGTTCAGCTAAGTACAGCAGACTTAATTATTATGTAAAATCACTTAATGTAGTTCAGTTATATGTGAAAAGTTCTGAATACCATAGAATCGTGCTGGATGACCTAATGATGCCCAGAGAAGTATTCTCTACAGCAGTGGTTCTCAACCTGTGGGTCCCCAGTTGTTTTGGCCTACAACTCCCAAAAATCCCAGCCAGTTTACCAGCTGTTAGGATTTCTGGGAGTTGAAGGCCAAAACATCTGGGGACCCACAGATAGAGAACCATTGCTCTATAGGCATCTAGAATAATTCTGTGTTATTTTCCTCCAGATGTTCCACCAGAGGTTGAACACAAAATTGTACTTGGAGGCCTAGAGAGAACCCTTCCCTAACCATTTTTAGGTCTTCCTATACAATTATTTGCTATGCTTCAACTGGAAATCCAAGTTAGCAATAATTTCTAGTAAGAATAACACTATTATAACATAATTTTTGTTCCTGGGTTATAAACATCATTTCCTAATAGGTTCTATCATAAAAACATGGACAAAGTTTATTAAACTGCAAAAACTTTGTTTTGCAGGACATCATGCTGCACAATTTGCTAAGAGTCTCAACCAATTCAACATAGTTCGTGGCAGCTACAAAAACAAAATTGCTGGAGTATAATAACTACTTTCAAAGTAAGTACTCACAATTAAACAGGAAACAACTTTCAAACCAGGAACATATTTTTTTTCAAATTTTGTTACATAATGTAATGGAATTCCAGATTATGTGCAAAAATCTTGTTATTTATTTATGTATTTATTTATTTATTTATTTAATGTGTTTGTATACTGCCTTTCTCAGCCTGCAGGCGACTCAATGTGGTTTACACAAAAGGTACATGGATGGCTCCCTCCAAAATACATGAACCTACTGTATTCTAGGGTTACTTGACATAGTAATAAAGCAGGGAAAATTTGAATGAACTAATTATTCATTTAAATTCAAATATATTTAATTTTCACTCTGATTTGATGGCAAGGATTCTTGTCTCTAATCACTGTACACAAATAAGCATTATTAAATGTATTTTCTCTCAAAAAATATGAAAGTCAGCCAATAACTAATTCAAATCTACAGATTAGTTTAGAAACTGTGCATCAAGTACAGTAAGTTCATTTTAAGTGAGTTTACACTCAACTAAAGCTAAGTTCTTATCTGGATCTGTGAAGATCAAATTGTTCAAGTGCCCCTCACAGCTCAACTGTAACCTTTAAGCCCTTTATTATTTATTTATATATTAATAATTATTATTTAATAATAATTATGTTTTAACTCTTTATTATTTATTTAATATCACAGTTCCATCTTGCCTAGATTTCAAGCTTAGATTGGCATAAGTAGATTGTATTATTCTGTGCTCATAACAGTCCTAGGGGATAAGTCAGACAATTATAACAATGGGAAAGTAAAACACAGAAACAATAATCTTCAGTATGTTCATTTAAAATTCTATAGCACAGGACACTAATTGATGCTTCGACTCTATGGCATTAATGGGAGATCCTTTAGATGTGTCTAGTTCATTATTTAATCATATGTTCCCACATACAATAGAGTATTTAGAAATGATAACTGACTCCATAATAATGCCTTAGTCTTAACAATCACTGGTAAAAATACATGGGAAACTATACTTCCCAAAGCATACAAAGATCAAACAATCAGTGTCCCTCATGGCCCTCAAGCGGTCACAAGTAGCTACTACAAGTGGAAGTTAAATTCCATCCCTACCACTCCGTTTACAGAAAGAAGCTGGTCTCCACGCTTCAATCCCCCGTGTCTATCAGCAATACCACCTGGGATAATTCGGGATATATAGATTGGAGAGTTTTGCTCTTTGCCGCCCATGATGTTGAATCCAAGCCCTTCTTCTGTTTTTGGTAGTTCAACAACTCTGGGATGGGAATGGCCTTCACTGGCAGCAAAGGCAGCAACAGTGGCCTGTAAAACACAGAGAAACCAATTTTTCCCCAATATAATGTAAGGTTTTGGTGTTCTCCTAGCTTACTAGCAAGTATTTCATAACATCCTGCTAAACACTAGCAGAAACCTAGTTAAAATTCCTTCAGATAACTTTCAAAGTATTCTCAGTCTCGGGGCTGCCTCTACCTTGAAGAAAACTAAAGAATGTTAAGACAAAGCAAACAAACTTATCAAATGTGAATTTTCTTGTTATAATGGAGCAATCTGTTCCTACAGCAGACACTTTACCATGTCTTTTTAATTTGTTTCCAGGAACCATGTACAACGTGTTTCATAAGAAGCCACTGCCTCAAATGAGGATCCCGCTGCACAACAAAATGCTACAAGCATATCCTGACCCACATCTCTTTCAAGATCACCAAGAAACTCCTGGGAATAGACTCTCATATAAGCCACATGCCGAGAGCTCATTTGCTCTATATTCCTGCACTGTGGGAACACCAGACGTTAATCCAATACATCAACAGTGACAAGCAAAAATTGTTTTAGCATTCACATGTACAGATAGGAAAATGGTCAATATACATGTGATGCACTCATAAACCTTAGCTACCTCAGTTGTTATGGTTTATGTGACTTGTTTTATATTTTGTACTGATTTTACCTGTTGTGTGTTATATATGCACCCTGGAGTGCGTTTGTAAGCTGCCCTGAGTCTCTTTGGGGAGATGATGGCGGGATATAAATAAAGTTTATTTTTATAATACTAATTTGAAAGTGCAAGTAAAAGGAGTGTGCTTTGGGAGACAATCTTTTTTGGTTAGGAATCCTTCCTGCTTTTCTCCCCAGGCTATTAAATTTCTAATTCTCCCAAAAATGTTTATATTAGTCCCCAAACCTTCCATTAACAGCTCTGAGATATATTCACAAAACACTACTGACACAGATGGTCCGTGATACCATTAAGAAGCAAAGCTCAAGACTAGCAGCACCCCTACAGAGACACCACTACTCATGGTGATATTTTAATTATCTTAATAGCTCAATTTTATAAATTGGGATATTTGGGTGCATTTTGTTGCCACATTGTCCTTTTTTATTACCAAGTAATGCTAATGAGACCCTTACCTTGGCTGTAGCATTAGCTCTCACTTCTGGGCTACTGCTGATGTCCACAGTCTCATATACATGCTCATATACCTTAAGAAGACAACATTGTTCAGATACATGGTTGATCAGGTGAATTATACAAGAACATGATTTCCAAATACATTCTTTATTGACCAATATTTTGTATTTCAAACTGAATCCTAATCAGCACTGAAATTTTGCAGTGCTGCTATTTCCTCTGCTTAGGAAAACCTAACTAACATGCTTATTGTATAGTTGACTTTAGCAATCTGCCTTTGTGTCATGCACAATATGGATTCCAAAACAAAACTTACCTCCCGTACTGCATTACAGAACTCACTTTGAAGGACTCTTTGCAAAGCCTGCAGTTTTTGTGGGGGAACCTCTCCAGTCCTCTGCAACTTTTCTAGCAACTCAATAGCCCGACAGATGTCTGGAGAAAGACATTAAAGGAAATTGTGTGAATAATTCAATTCAACACAGAGGAAATTATTAACACTGAGATGGTAATGAAGGACAAGTCTCACAATTCACAAGAGTTGGAACTACTTTTATTTATTTATTTATTTATTTGGAGCATTTATTAACCGCCATTCTCAGCCCACTCGGGCGACTCACGGCGGTGTACAGTACAAAAGGCAATTCACACAAAGACAAGTACAACAGCATATTAACCATACAACAATACAACAGTTAAAATTACACTAACTAATCCGCTTCGTCTCGTAATAGAATCGTGACCAATCTCGTATTCCTTGTACCATTCCAGTCGTCTTTACCACATTACTATAGCACTTAATTAAATGCCCTCTCGAACAGCCACGTCTTGAGGCTTTTTCGGAAGGACAAAAGAGAGGGCGCCTGCCTGATGTCTGTAGGGAGAGTGTTCCACAACCAGGGGGCCACCACTGAGAAGGCCCTCTCTCTCGTCCCCGCCAGGCGTGCCTGTGAGGCAGGCGGGATCGAGAGAAGGGCCTCCCCAGACGATCTCAAGGTCCTCGTGGGCTCATAGGCCAAGATGCGGTTTGAAAGGTATTTTGGGCCGGAACCGTTTAGGGCTTTGTAGGCCAAAACCAGCACCTTAAATTGGGCCCGGTAGCAAATCGGCAGCCAGTGGAGCTGGGACAACAAGGGCGTTGTGTGCTCCCTGTATCCCGCTCCAGTTAGTAACATGGCTGCCGCACGCTGAACCAGCTGAAGCTTCCGGGCCGTCTTCAAGGGCAGCCCCACGTAGAGAGCGTTGCAGTAGTCAAGCCGGGATGTGACCAGAGCGTGTACCACCGTGGCCAAGTCAGACTTCCCGAGATACGGGCGCAGCTGGCGCACGAGCCTAAGCTGTGCAAATGCTCCCCTGGTCACCGCTGAAACCTGGGGATCCAGGCTCAACGATGAATCCAGGGTCACACCCAAGCTGCGAACCTGCGCCTTCAAGGGGGAGTGCGACCCCGTCTAACACAGGCTGTAACCCTATACCCTGTTCGGCCTTACGACTAACCAGGAGTACCTCTGTCTTGTCTGGATTCAATTTCAATTTGTTCGCCCCCATCCAGACCGTCACAGCGGCCAAGCACCGGTTCAGGCCCTCGACAGCCTCCTTAGTAGCAGGTGGAAAGGAGTGACAGAGTTGGACATCATCTGCGTACAGATGACACCGCACCCCGAAACTCCGGATGATCTTACCCAGCGGCTTCATGTAGATATTAAACAGCATGGGGGACAGTATGGAACCCTGTGGAACCCCACAAGTCAAAGGTTGTGGGGCAGAACAGGAGTCCCCCAATAACACCTTCTGGGTGCGTCCCTCCAGGAATGAGTGGAGCCACTGCAGAGCAGTGCCCCCAAGGCCCATTTCCGCAAGGCGCCCCAGAAGGATACTGTGGTCGACAGTATCGAAGGCCGCTGAGAGGTCCAGGAGCACCAACAGGGACACACTCCCCCTGTCTAGCTCCCGGCGCAGATCATCCACTAAGGCGACCAAGACCGTCTCGGTACCATGTCCCGGTCTGAAGCCAGACTGTGCTGGATCCAGAATATCCGTGTCTCTCAAGAATACCTGGAGTTGTGAGGCCACCACGCTTTCCATGACTTTGCCCAAAAAGGGGAGATTGGAAACAGGCCGAAAGTTGTCAAATTTAGTGGGGTCCAGTGATGGTTTCTTCAACAGCGGTTTTATAACTGCTTGTTTTAAGCACGCTGGAATCTTGCCTTCCTGAAGGGAGGCATTAACCACCACCGTTACCCACTCAGCCAATCCCCCTCTGGCCTCCTTCAGAAGCCAGGATGGGCAGGGGTCTAGGATGGACGTGGTGGGCCTCATTCCTCCAAGTATCTTGTCCACATCCTCGGGTTTCACAAACTGAAAAGAATCCATCAAAATAGGACAAGCAGGTGCTCTTGTTACATCCTCTGAGACTGCATTTAACGCGGCGTCCAGCCCAGAACGGATCAAGGCGACTTTGTCTGCAAAGAACCGAGCAAATGCTTCACAGCGCGTGACCGAATTGTCAGGGCTCCCGCCAGAGGTGGCGGGAGTTAAAAGACCTCTAACAATCCGAAACAACTCCGCCGGACGGTTCTTTGCAGACGCAATAGTGGCCGCAAAGAAAACTTTCTTTGCGGCCTTTATTGCCGCGGCATATGCCCTAAGAAAGGACACAAACCGTGCTCGGTTTGACTCGCTTGGATCCGAACGCCACACGCTCTCTAGTTCCCTCTTCCTTCGCTTCATCACTGCCAGCTCCTCGGTAAACCAAGGGGCTGGTTTAGCTCGGCTACTTGAGAGGGGACGCTCCGGAGCGATCATGCCAATTGCCCTGGTCATCTCCCCATTCCAGAGAGCGACCAAGGCCTCGACATGGTCACCTACCGAGGTGGCGGGAAAATCCCCAAGAGCCGTCAGGAATCCATTCGGATCCATAAGCCTCCTGGGGCGGACCATCTTAATGGGTCCTCCACCCTTGCAGAGGTTAGGGGGCGCAGTGAGCCTAAATCTGATCAGGAAGTGGTCGGTCCATGGCAACGGAGAGATGGACCGACCATTGAGAATTGGAACTACCCCACTGAGGACACATCAGTACTTTCCCTTTCATACCAAAGTGACTAACACAACCCACAGCCATTTTTTCCTGGTGTTTTTCTTTCATCAATGGTTCTCAACCTGTGGGTCCCCAGATGTGTTGGCCTTCAACTCCCAGAAATCCTAACAGCTGGTAAACTGACTGGGATTTCTGGGAGTCATAAGCCAAAACACCAGGGGACCCACAGGTTGAGAACCACTGTCTTACATGATGTGGATACACCACACCTATCATTCACTTCTTTATCCAGCTCTTATAAGTTCCAGCATGAGGCCCATTAGTTTGCTAATTTTTTGTGTACATTTGAAAAGTGCTGATGATTTGTAAGACTTAAATTGCAATCCAATGAACACCAGTGACAACTGTTTCCAAGTAATGCACAGGACTGCTTTGTAAGACATTCTAATGAAGATATTATCACAAGAAAGGGATATTGTTTTCCAACATTTTTCATTACTGTTCTGTCACAGACTCCAGCTTCCCCAGTGTTTTAAAAAACTTGCCTTTCTTGCTTCTTCTAAATACACATCCACACAACATAGGTAATGTTGAAATATTCTAAATGGGTGGGGCTAGTCACGTGGGTTCTGAACACAAAAACAAAGCATCAAAGACCAACCATATACTTTAACTTGGTAATGTGGTTCCCAAACAACTGGGTTAAGAGATATGGGGCTGTCAAGTTATCAGGCAGAGGAAAATGTATGTATGTATGTATGAACACACACACTTATCTGACACAACTCCATCAGAGGCTGTGACCCAGAAGCAGTTGAAAGGCTTTCCTTCCATCCCAACTGTCACTGCCTTGGTCTTGGAGAGAGAGGAACTGACTATATCTGCTAGTCTTAATCCCCTCCTACACTGTCATTTCATTTTCCTTATGTGTTCTGTCTTATTTAGATCATAAATCAGAGGGTAGAGAACTGTTCAATTCACACTTTGCAAGCTGCTTTGGGTGCTTTTGTGGCTAAAGAGCAGAGTATACATACTTTAGTTCTTCACAATTTGTTTCACAGCTGATGAGCATGTCGCTAAGAAACCTGCCAACTAAATCCCAAGGATAATATGCTGGAGTACCAGTACATAAGAAACTTAAGGTTTCAGACCTCACAACCTCTAAAGATGCCTGCCATAGATGCAGGCGAAATGTCAGGAGAGAATGCTTCTGGAACATGGCCATACAGCCCAAAAAACTTACAACAACCCAGTGAATCTGGCCATGAAAGCCTTCGACAATACAAAAAACCTAAGGTTCCTTTGGATTTTCTTATGAAGGTTTGAAGGGCAGAGGATAGCACCTTTTAATTTAATCAAGGTTCATAAACTCTGTAACAGTCTGTTTAGATTTTTACTTTTCCTCCATGAATTTTAGCTTACTGGAAATCTGAAAACTGTCCTTATCCAATGAGTTTCTGAAAAAAACAGAACAGCATCAATCTCTCCTGACATCTAATACAATATAGGTACAAAGAAAGACCTCTTGACAAGTGAGATACAATTAACAGATTTTTTTCCTCTACAAATTACTGTCATACCTACTAAACTGTAGAATAAACCCCAAACCCATCCAAAGATCTATGTCTTCCGGCAGACCTACCCATTTAATTCTACTCATGAATTTTAAACTCACATCCTGTGTTTTAATCTTTGTTCTATGTATTTTAATATGTATAGAAATACGTTTTGTTATTTGTATTTTATAGGAATACATTTTATATATAGAATGTTTACAATGATTATGTGTTTAACTATGTTGTAACCTTCCATGAGGAGAGGTGGATAAGAAATACAATTATTATTATTATTATTATTATTATTATTATTATTATTATTATTATTATTATTATTATTGGGGCCAATTTGGAAACTTCCATGGAGAAAAGACGTAGGGAAACATTTGTTCTAACATCTTCCATATTAGCTCAAGTATTTGCTTCAACCATAAAGCTCTTGCTTATACAGACACCCAGCAATGTATTAAACATTTAATTCATTTCTTCAGCATAAGACAATTTGCCATCCTTTTCATGTTACAGAACAGCATATTTGTAAATAATAATAATAATTTACACAATACTATCTGGCTTCTTGCCATTTAGATTAAGGTCACATTTTCATTGCCATGGCTTCCATTTTCCAGAACTATGCATTGGTTAATAGACTGAAAATGGATTGGGCAAAACCAATTTTATACTAGAGCTCTATCTTTCCTTCTGTCATGCACAGAGTCAGGATAGGAACCAAAATGACTATGCAAGCCAATGCAAAAACTTTTCCACTAGGCATGGAAATCATTAAGTCCTCTGGTGCTGCTTCTTTTATCCATCAAAACAAATGAGCAAGAATAATATTT